GGCGTCTTCGCCTCGCCGCGCACTCGCCCTGGGCCCTGCAGACGCGCGGGCTCCTGTCCCGGAGCCGCAGCACCGTCCTTCTGGGGAGCGGAGCCTGGGGCTAGTGGGTGGAGAAAGAAACGGGAAACCTCTGACCCGAGAGGCGAGCCCTCGGAATCCATCCGGGGTGGGGAGGGGGCGCACTTCCTGGCAAGTTTACTGGATTTGACTGGTCCCGGATTTCCAAGGTCTCCCCGCTCGGGGTCACACGCATTGGTCACGTTCATGAGGAGATAAGCTGCGTGGAGGGGACACCTAGTAGAAGACACGAAGGGTGGTGCACCGGGTGCATGGGGAAGTGCGAACCCCGGCCGGACACCTGTCACCACCCCCACCCTACCCTGCCCTCCTTGGCGTCCGGCGGCGGCCGAATATCTGTGCTTGCAACTAGCCCGCGCGCGGCTGCAACAGCAACAGTTGCGACTCTGGGCCTCGGGACCGTAGGAACTTTCGCCGGCGGGTCCGGTTTTGGTCTGGGCTCTCCGGCACCTGAGAACTGTGCCGAGATGTGCGGGCGTCCTCTGGTTCCCGCACGCCCGGGGGCGCGCTATATCCTGCAAGCACATCGTGGGAAATACAGGCGCCCCCCAGCACTCAGCGCCAAATGAGGAGGATTCCGAATCCGCTCCAGAGCACGCTCAGAGATGGCCGGCGCGCGGCGCCACATCAATCCAGGCGTCCTGCTCCTGACCAGGACACCACCACTGCGGTGCCACAGCCGGTGGGGGTTCCCATTTCTCGCTCTTTAGGACCTGCAGTCTCCGCATCGGGAGCTCACGCCACCTGCCTGGACTTCATAGGGCCTGCGAGCTCCAAGTCTGCGTGACCCCGTGACCTTGATCCTTCTGCAGCTGTGTGCAGACATGTATGCCCATGGCCTCAGCCAACGACCTGAGTTAACTAGGCAGACAGGTGGGGTTATGGAAATTACAAACTCTCATCTGAGAAAATTCAGACACCGAGAGAGTTAAGATAGATCTGAAAGCTGGAAAATGTAGGATTAAAATGAAACATGTCTCTGTTTGCCTTGGCTGAGGGCAAAACTCCCTCTGGGCATCCTTCCCTTACTACTTCCTGCCAAAAAGGTCTTGTGGGCAAACTGATCAGCAGAGCTGCCCAGCTCTAAAGTGTCTGACATGAACACACCTACCTGGATCGCGTGGGCAGTGGCTCAGCCAAGGCTGGCTTTCTCCCTGAATGTATGATTAAGTTAATGACCGTCCAAAAGAAAACACGGGGGAAGCTCAGGGAATGCCTCCATGTATCCTTCAAAAAATATAATTCCTGAGTAGGAGGAAGCCGGTTTCCAAGCAGCATTTGCTTACCTTTTTTAAACCCAAGTTCATGTCTGAATCCCCAAAAAGTCATAAAGCCTTCATAGTGAAAAAGATTCTGGAAGGATAGGGCACAAGGAAAGGACATTCAAGTTTTTTTGTTTGTTTGTTTGTTTGTTTTTTAAGTTAGGCCCCAAGCAGCCTGGGGTGTGTTTGTTTTTAAAGAATTTTTTTTCTGAGATCCATTAGTGCCCCATGGTCATACTAGTCCTGAATAGCAGTTGGAACTGGAATATTGGACTGCTCTTCTCATCACACTTTGCTGGGGGTTAGTGTTTCAGATCATCCAACTGTTGCCTAGCAAAACAGAGAGCAGGCCTCAACAACTTGTAGTACAGAAGGTACTTGTATGATCTTAAGAAAGTCAGTCATCTTTTTTACCAATCTGAGTCACATTATATCTCTTTGTCCTACCCTAGACTTTACCTGCCCCCTGCCCTATTCATAACTTAACATAATAAAGCCTTTAAAATCTTTTTAGGGGAAAAGCTTTGAATGTCTACAGTGAGATCATGTGCAAGTTTCCCATTTCAGGCCTTTTCATAAGTGTCCTCCTGACAGGGGAGGGTTGGCAAGATGTGAAGGAAGGGGGGGGGGAGTGGAAAAGAACACCTCTGATAGATAAATCCGTGTCATGCCTGTAACTAACACATGCATAGAGGGACTCTCAAGATGCCCATGGATTAAGTTCATGCCATCCTAAGACCTAAAGGATCATCATCCATTTGGGTTTGCATCCAATGGTTGCTGGCTATACCACACACTCTCACATACACGCTATTTAACTAAGATTTGCTGTCAGTAGATGAAGATTATAGAGGGACTTTTCATAAGAGGAAAGGCAGGGAGAGGGACGAAAGTTATGATAATGCTCCAGAACTAGTTTTGTTTTCTTGTTTTTTGTTTTTCCAGAAGCTGCTCAAGCCTTTAGAAGGAAAGCTGGGCCCTGCAGTACAGGCAACTGTGGTGCTTTCGCCTTGGTTTCTGAAGAAACTCTCCACAGGGTCGCTTAATGGGTTGTGACAGAATGCTAACGGGTTCCAGAGGACAAGATACTCTTCCATACAGGCATCACCAATAGAACCTTAATTGGGCCTTTCATCTGGTTTCCCTGATCCAGGCCTGAAAATTATCTCTGGTCCCTTGTAAAGATGCTAATTATCCTGCTGCTGAAAAGAATGCTGACATCCTAATGACAAGTTAGCTTCATGGCAGGCATCTTCGTTTAAATGCTTTGTCCTTTGATCCAGCTAAAGATTTCCCAAATAATAATCAAAACTTGTCTTTTCTCTTTTAGGCTCTTAGAGTAAATAAATGCAAGTGAGGCAGTGGTTAGCATCCCTCTGCTGCTAGCTCTTCTTTTCAGGGACTCAGTAAAAATAGATGGCACGTACTCAAAGTGTAGCTCTTGGCTACAAAAACAAAACAAAACATATTTTAAAACACTTTCCAAATAATTGCTCTGAAGAAAATAGTCATTTATTGTCAAAGCATCCAACATACCCGGATAATCTATAAAGTTTAATAAATCTTTCCAGGGATAAAAGAAACACATAACTATTCAGACTCCATTTCACTGGCACAAAAGTTACACTTTGTATTAAAAGGAAATACATATTTACATAATGGTGACATTCTTCATTGAAGTCCATAATCATTTCATGATACATGCGCTTCCCCCTGAAAACGGAAATGGAATGGTGACCCCCTTTTTATAAGAACACAAACAGTCATCAGTAAATGCAGAAAGCATCTCACCCTCCTCCTTTACTTTATATCTAAAATAAATTTTGCCCTTACATATAATTATTACATCTAAACTGTAAGTGCTTAATAATTTAAGTAGAAACGTATGACAAATGCATCAATATGTTGCAATATATGACATTTTTAAAAATGTATCTTTGTTTTGGGGAAAGTGAAAATGCGTGCATTTAAAAGAAAACCCCTCAAACAACCCACCCATCAAAAATCCACCATCCTGTCTCGTGTGTGTGTGTGTGTGTGTGTGTGTGTGTGTGTGTGTAGTGTAGGTCGAAGGTAAACATTTGAATGAGATGACTGGAGGAGCACGTGTGTGTGTGTGTGAGTGTGTGTGTGTGTGTGAGAGAGAGAGAGAGAGAGAGAGAGAGAGAGAGAGAGAGAGAGAGAGAGACTGTCGCCCTGGGTGCAATGTTTCAGGTCACAAGGAGGTGGTGGATGCCCTCGCGTGCTTGCTCCTACAGGTGGCTTCACTGTGCGTGTATGCGCCGCGTGGAAAGCTGGGGTCCCGTCCAGGTCAGTTATGGGAGGTCATGTGCCTGGAGAGGTGGTGGCGCTCCCTGAAGGACTCGTTGCAAATGGGGCACTTGAGTTTCTCCTCCCGCCTCCGCTTCACCAGGGGCTCCATGGCGTACTCCTTTTTGTGATGCGACCTCATGTGGTACACCAGGTCGGAGGTCATGCGGAAGGAGGCGTTGCACTTGGCGCACCAG